AGGCCCACAGTGTTTCCTTTTGATATGAGTAGAAAGTTACACAAAAGGCCCTTTTTTTACGGAAAAATATACACCAGGCAAAGGATCATGCAGACATTGTCATTGCCCTTAGAGAGATAGATCGTTCTGAGAATTTTGGAAGCATCGAGTCCACATCACTGCTAAGAATTTGAGAATTGGGAGTAGATCGGCACAGCTAAGCATGAGAAGCACACCGGACGCACACAAAGTCTCGTTAAAAAAACATAGGACTGGCACTATTCAACGCGCGACGCGGATGAATATGTTGAGAGGGGAATCTGAGCGCCTATGGATCTGTCTGGTGTGCTGTGAAGATAATCTAACTCATAACTCAAATGAAACTAGTAAAGTTAAGGTTTTCTCACGGCTTCAGTCCGATTTATAAATCAGTGGGTGATGTGGTCAGCATTACGCCAGCCGTCTTTACTTCTCAGGTCTTTACCTGGTACCCATTTAAGGCTGGGTCGACCTGAAAGTCAAGGTTATTTTTTTTTTTAAATCGATCTCTATCAGGAGCTGAACATACGACCTTTAAATCCGCGGGCGAGAGTCAAGCCGTTACACCACGGCGGCTTTCAAATGAAACAAGACTCATGTTTTTATAGACCAAACAGCTCCCCGGTGAGTTCCGGAGCCCCATTATGAGGCAAGCAAGAATTGTTCCATTGCCTCGCTGACATGCCTGTCGTGACACTAGTTCGTTCTAGCACTATATGCCCAATGCTCCAAAGTCATGAGAAGGTTACTTTTTGTTTCGTTTTGGCACTGCAGTTTTTTTTTTTTTTCTCGCGGTACGAGGTACTTCTGTACTCCCGTCAGTACTACAGTAGCATGCATTTCATGGTTAGTACCGGCACCTATTTAAACAACTTTATGACGAGTACCGGCACCCCCCCCCCCCCCCCCCCCCCCTAGAAAATACGCCCTGCTTTTACGTGTGCCTGTGACAGCTGGAATCAGAAATTAAATTCAGCGCCGTTCGAGTCAGGGACTTGTTCGAGGAAGGACTATTCGCGTGCGTAATCAATGAATCAATCCATGAAAATACGCTCACACGTGTACATATTTCCCGTGTGGGTGCTGGGGCCCTATTACACAGGGAACAGGAATAAACCCACTACCTACCCAAGAGCATGTGGTAATTGGGAGCTTCCTCTGAAGTCTTGAGTGCAACTATCTGAAAGGCAAGGTACCAACAGTGTGTATACAGACTGATCTGTAAAACAAACAAATTTTGCGTGTTGAGTTTGACATTGCTACTGAATGGGCAGTTGTTTGGTACCACAGCAGAAACCGACGCAAAACGTTCTTCCGCTACCAAATCGCAAGCATTTTGGATCGAACCAGGCACCCCAGCATTACCAAGCGCATTCGCTACTCTTAAGTAACAGACGCTGACATAAGTTCCTTACCTAACATTTATACCTTCCGCAGTGAGCGCCAGTCATAACAGCGATACGATGTATGAGAAAATATTTCAGAAGACCAAGCAGATATGATCTTAGCAATAAAGAAATGAGAAGCAGACTGTGACTCGCACTGGCAGTTCAGTTTATTAAACAGCAACAGTCTGGCCCGTCGTGACAATGTCCTGGCACCAACTGTCGCAGATAAGCACGCTGGGGTAATATGACGGATAAAGAACACGAGAAAGACCATGTAGAATCGAGAACACAGGTTAGGTTAGTTGCGTATCCTTTACAGGACGTTGCAGAACCAACCCCAACAGCCCCTGGCTGTTGTGTGTTTTTCTAGGCAAATTTACGTCCAGTAGTTTGCTATTGCTTCTGGACGGTCGGCTTTTTTGATACCAATGCCGAAACCAACGCAAGGCGCATGGCCCGCAGCTGGGATCGAACCCGGCATCCCGACATTACGAAACGTTCGCATCGACTTAGCTGCAGAGCCGACCGAGAACACAGAGAGGGTCGAAATGTTGAAAATGGGCAACCTCACGGGTAACAAGCCCGAGCACCCAGCGAAAGATAGTATCAATACAATACAACCAGCAATGCTCTCCAGGTCTCTTGCTAGACCCCTGCGGGCCGGATTCGACCCATAGGTCGCATGATAAAAAGCGCTGACACAGAAAATCTTTGCATCTCTCCCAACACTTTGATGAAGTAACAGGAGAATGTAAAGAAGAAGAGGAGGAGGAGGAGGAGGAGAAGAAGAAGAAGAAGAAGAAGAAGAAGAAGAAGAAGAAGAAGAAGAAGAAGAAGAAGAAGAAGAAGAAGAAGAAGAAGAAGAAGAAGAAGAAGAATACTTCTTCTTCTTCTTCTGCGTTCGACATCAGTCATGCTAAACATTGAGTCCCGTCTGGGTCACAAATAGGATTTGTGCGTTTAAGGTCGCCACCGGTCGCCCATAGCTTCTCTTGCAATGTGGCTCCCTTGGGCCAGATCCACAGTCTTTGCTGGGAGAGGTTAGGGCAGTACTGTAGTATGTGCTCAGGGGTCTGTCTTTCTGTTTCACAATCGCAGGCAGCAGATTCTTTTATGCCTATCCTGTACAAGTGTGCTCGAAGACCGCAGCGTCCAGTCCGAAGTCTAAAAATTGATGTTTGTCCCTTCCTTTTGAGTTTGTTTATGCTGTCACTCTCTGGTATGTAATCTCCATTCCGCCTTCTCCACTCCCGCTTGAAAGACTGCTTTAGCGTTATTTTGGTTTCCTTGTAGCTGTGTGGTGAATGAGGTTGTGGAAGATTACTCCCATCTTTTGCCAACTCATCTGCTCTCTCATTTCCTTGAATACCACAGTGGGCTGGTATCCACTGCAAGACCAGTTCTGCTTCCTTGGAGAGTAAGCCAATGTTGGTCCTTAAATCTGCAATTAGTTTGTCTTGTTTTTTGCTGGATAGTGCTTGGAGAACAGACAATGAGTCACTAAGTGTTACAATTTGGTGCCCTCTGTGGCCTTGTGTGTTGAGATGTTGGACTGCAGAAAAGAGGGCAGCTGCCTCAGCTCTGAAGTTAGTGCAGATGTCACCTGCTGGTAGAGAGAGAGAGTTTCTGCTCTACTGCTAGGGGGTTTAATGTAAATTCCACAACCCCCCTTTCTGACTGCATCTGTAACAGAGCCGTCGGTGAAAACCTGAGTCCAAGTGGTGTTTGGATACTTCTTATCAAGCATAGCAAGAGCCAAGGTTCTCTGTTGTGTCTCCGTCCATAATAATAAGAAGAAGAAGACAAAGAAGTTAAGGTTAAGAACTGACATCACAGTACTCAGGATATTCCCAAAATAGCTTCGTCCTCATCTTCAGCAGCCAGCGAAAAGTTCCAATTCTGGCGGGGCCACTGGTAATTTTATTACACGCCCACCTTGCCTTCTCTCTGAGTCTAAAGTGTTTATCAGATGCCCTGGTCACTTCTCAGCTGTACCATTACCTTTACACCGTAATGAGCGATTCGTGCCTCTGCATTGTTCCCACTCGGGTGTCCCAAAGAGTGACTATTCTGACAGAAATCCACCAGGTACAAATCCCAGAAACCCTGCACAGTCGTGAGGTTACACGGGAGCCGAGACGGACACCAGCTAACCTGAAGTCCGAACAGGGTAGGGGTGGGCCAAATCCAACTTAACAAGCAAATGACCCATTTTGCGCCACTGGCACAACAGGCGTATGGTGCTATACTTATCATTATGTTGACTAAAAGGTTGCCTGCTATGTCATAGTCACCATCACACCGGTGGCCTTTGTTTCCCTGGACTGTCTCTAGAACCCATTTAGACTGCGTTGATTTGAAAGCCAATGTCATAAAACAAATCGAGATGCGGATTCAAACATGAGACTTTCGAGAAGCATGAGATAAATCTGTGCTTGGTGTGCTGTTTGTATGATAAATACAACACCAACCTCCTTTATGTCTCGAACACTTTATGATACCACTTTGTTGCAAATGTCATTTTACATTATATATCTCGATGGGGACCCGAACACGGGACCTAAACTCGCCAGGCGAGCGGCATATCGCAACAGCAGCTCCCAGGGCAGACACAGTCGAGAGAATTCTTTATTTCGAAAAACAGATTCTAGGGAACAGTCGGGGATTTTCTATGAACAGCGGGTCACATTCGGCAAGTAGGCCACGATTTCCCAGGCGCTCCCCGGGCCCTTGTATTCTGTTTGCCCTTTATTTGCCTCATCAAAAAGTATACATTAGCAGCGCCGCGTGGTGTAAATCAAGCTTGATTGACATGTGCGCCGCCAGAATGATTGATTGCCGGGGCGAGAGGTGACGGTTGGATGACTGCCAGATAATTATCTTGTCGCCTTTTCATTGGCCCAGCCACTCCATGGCAGATGTCATTCAAGTCGCCTGTCTTTTGTTACCCCTTGACTTTCCCGTAGTGACTACCACCCAATCGTTGGAAGCCGTTTCCCATGAAACAGCAGTTCATTGGTTGGACAGGGGAATCACCCCCTTTCTTGACTACCTCCCCCAACTGTCAATTATTTTTTTTCTGCTTCCCTTCCCCTCACTCTTTTTGTTGTCGAGTTATGTTGTGCGTGTTGTCGAGCAGGGTGGCTTCATTCACTTGAAGCTTACACTGCGGCGAGCGAGGGCGCACTGTGTGATTGACGGTTACCGCGAGAGATTGTTCATCGTGTTCCGTGCAGTCATCACCTCTCGCAACTTGCCAAGTTAACACTGAACGCCCGAGCTGCCTTCTCTCAGTTGAATAGCAGATAAACCCTCGACATCACCTCAGTTCAGCACTAGACGTGGATCTTCGAGTGTTGCCAGTTCAGAGAACTCTGTTACTGGATTTCATTTTGTGCTTTGTTCAACATTGTACTTCACATTTCTTGGATTCGTGCAAATATCTAACCTTAATTAACGATTGTAGAATACATATATCTATTTTTGTTTATGGGATCGAGGAATTCGGAGTATTGAACGCCAGTTTTGGATAGTACAATTCGAATTTGCTTTTTTGAATTGCTCGTTTGCCAAATTGCTGATCTGTTGGAGTAAATGACATCAACATCATCCGGCCTTACAATGCTGACATCAGGAGTCAGCCAATATCTACATCCCGATTATCTACAGCCGCTGCCAACCACTGTGAGTATTTACATTATCACACGTTTTCTTACATGTATTTTGCTTGTATACAGTTGGTTGTATGTTTACTCGAAAAGCGGACAGACTTGGAATGTTGGTGAATACTTTTCAGACAAATTACGCGAGTTTAAAAAGGGAAATATTCCGTTCTTATAGTCTACTTATGTCTTACCTCCTAGCGGAGCATAGGCTCTCGCCTAAGTCACACCAAGAGATTTGGTGACGCGTTCATGATCGGTTGCATTTTTCTGCTACGGTTTTCGAGGTTTCTACTGAATGAGGTGGGGTAGTCAGTCACGCAGTGAATAAACACTAAATAGTAGTGAGATTTTGTCATTTTGTACTGAGCATCTCACCATAAACTGGCATTGTATTCGCAGTATAATTTTTTGCATGGTTACAATCTCCTTGGTGTATTTTTTTTCAGACTATACTTGTTTAAAAAATGACCTTGATAAAGACTGATTGGACACGTTCACTTGTAAAAGTGTGCTCTTTCGTACAGATTCCCAGTTGTTCCATTCCATCTTCGGTGTCAGCTCTACAGCTCTTACCCCTATTTTCGATTAACCCAGCGCGCATTTGTGATGGAGGGTTTGAATATCCGTTTTACATTTTAGCGTTAATATTTAAGCGTCCATAAAACTGGATTTTAGGTTTTTTTTTTTTTTTTTTAAATAATCCACATTTTCAGTTATATTATAACTGTTTGAGGAACCGGCTATTTGTCTCTTTATAGAATAAAAACTCCTTAAACCAGCTGTTGGACGGACAAATATTTAAAAAAAAAAACTAAACTTAAAACTTGAAGCTGGTTTTCTTTACAACTTCGTTTTCATACATACAGCTACTACTTTTTCAGATTTCTTTTTATATCTTAGACACCCTCAATGTTTATTGTTTTAAACGTTTCTGTTCTAGCGTCCCATCCTCTAGGTAAAAAAAAAAAAAAACTTGTAGACATCAGAGAATCTCCACATGTTGATCACCCGAAAGTTCACTTTTTACCGTTGAATGAAATAAACGTGACCCAACAACCATACACTATCAGGACTCGCCGTTCCTAGCTCCACTATCATAGCTTCTCTGCCCCCGAATGTTCCCGCTAACCCACAGTCTGTAACTTAGCTCTCGCTCGCATGCTGGCCTCTTTCGGTAATCCTAGCCCGTTTTCTTGCTGCTGACAATGTTTTGTGTGAAATATTTTGCACGTTTGTGTCGTCTTTATCCCTTATTTATATAGCCAGCAAATATTTACAGACTTTCCTCCAAGTATCCACTTTGTATACATTGTATGACTTGAAAAAAATATATATATTTAATGTACTGGGAAGTAAAGGCGACCGGCTTGATTTTGACGCATCATCCACGGACTACGATTAGTCTGTAAAAGTTCCTAGCATATGCCCGATACGCAACAGGCTCAAAAATGGTTTCCTAACTATTCCAGTATTTAGAAAAAAACCAACAACAACAACAGTAATAAACTGTATTTACTTGGTGGTTCACCACCTAGTGCAGCAGTTGACCTGAACCTTGCAGACAAGGACTTTTATTTTGCCCCTCCCCATAACAAAATCTCCTATTCCTTACTAAGGATGGAACTCTGGTCTCTTGCACGAGGACAACCCAGTGTTCTAATTGCTCGCTTCGCTCAGAAAATATTTTGCGCAGAAACACTAGTAAACATTAGTAAACGAAACTACTAGAGACGACATTGTAGATATAGATCATTTTTGTGTCGAGCAAACGAAGGATGGAGAAGTAAAGCAAACTAGACCGTGATCTGGATATATCTGGGAAATACCTAGAAGAATAAATAAGTCTTGTTTTATGGGAACATATATAGACAGTTGCTCATCTCCAGTATTGATTGTTTGCGGTCTGTGGGTAACATCAAAAATGAGAATCAAACAGCTACAAATCCTGGAAACCCTGTTCAACCTATAGCCTTAAAACACAGTTATATTGGGGCACTACAAAACGGTTACGAAGTGACCTTAGTACAGTGTGGCTGGGTCGTGTGGGTGACCAGATGGGTTCTGAAAGAAGCTGGCAGTAAGAGGAGTTGATGAAATTAATTTTGGCTCACAGTGAAATATTTCGTTCACACAGCTCTTTTATGGAAGGTAAGTTTGAAGGTAATTACCCTCACGTGACTACAGGTTACACCAGTGATGTAGCTGTTACGGATGTCGTAATTATAACATCTTCAGAGGTTGAACAGGAACTGTTGGTCTGCCACCCAGGATGAGACTCCTGATATCTCATGGGTGGTGAAATGTTTAGGTGGCAGACCAGAGGTAAAATACCCAGTGTAGACAGACAAAGGTTGGCTTAGTGATCTTGGTAATTTCAGCTTCAAAGCAAACTGGTCACCCTGTAGCTGCTCCGCTTCGGTGTCAATGAAAAACCAACAGAATGTCCATCACTGCGACACAGACTGCAGTTTCAGTATGTCCACTAGCATACACAATTATAAGGCAGCCATCAGAAGTGCTAACACAGTCTGACATTAGAAATTCATCATCGACGTAATCAGCAGTTATAAACAGATCAGCAGTTGCACACGCGATCACTTTTAATTATGTCAGGCACCACCAATTCTGTTGCAACAGGCCACTCACCATTTTCTGAATCTACAACTGCAACAGGCCACTCATCATTTTCTGAATCTACAGTTCACATCATGTTGGTCACGGCCGAAGAACATGTCAAATAAAATCCGCACCTCACAGTGTCGCACCCTACACTCAACTCAGTAGCTGGTTGACAGAACTATATCTTTTGTCTAAAAATAAAGGAAAATGTAACGACCTTCGTCTGTCAGAAACAAATGTGTGCCTGTCGTCCATTTTGACTGGGATCTTGGACAAATAAAGAGGTGGACAAACAAGCAAAACTTTCCTCTGGGGTTGACGTCTGGTCAACGCCAAGAAGTCCTCGTCAGAGCAGATGAAAACCCTAAACTGACTAGCGAAATGAGACATGGACAGCCGTATTGTTTTCTTTCTTCTTCTTGACATATTATGAGAAGGCGTGAACTTGAGAAACCTTGTGACAACCGGCAAGATGGGTTCAAAGGAACCAAGGGAAGAGCAAAGAAATAAATACCCGGATAGCTTAAGCCATATGGATGAGGAGATGCAAGAGCACTGACGTGATCCGTAATTCTGGTAATCGTGTAAGACAGCAAAACAAGACAGCCTAGGTTAATATGCATGGCACACGATGATGATGATTTGCGAATAACGTCTGTAATATACTGGGTGTAATTGTGTAATTTACACAGCCATTGCGTGATATGGAGAGCAGTGGTGCTGATGAGGAGAGCAGTGGTGCTGATGAGGACAGCAGTGGTGCTGATGAGGACAGCAGTGGTGCTGATGAGGAGAGCAGTGGTGCTGATGAGGAGAGCAGTGGTGTTGATGAGGAGAGCAGTGGTGCTGATGAGGAGAGCAGTGGTGCTGATGAGGAGAGCAGTGGTGCTGATGAGGAGAGCAGTGGTGCTGATGAGGAGAGCAGTGGTGCTGATGAGGAGAGCAGTGGTGCTGATGAGGAGAGCAGTGGTGCTGATGAGGAGAGCAGTGGTGCTGATGAGGAGAGCAGTGGTGCTGATGAGGAGAGCAGTGGTGCTGATGAGGAGAGCAGTGGTGCTGATGAGGAGAGCAGTGGTGCTGATGAGGACGAATGGCATTATCCTTAAACTTTCGAGGTTTTCATGTGAAGAGCAGATGATGAGAAATTTAACTATCCATTTCACGTCATGCTTTGAAGTAGATTTGGTCAAACACCAACATACATATACACAGAGGTTAAATGTTTCTTTTGAAGAAATAAGGGTCAAAAGATTCTTTAAAACAATCACTGGACGGTTGACGCCCACGCCTGTCGAAGAAGGAGGAAATCAGACATGCCTTCGTTAATTCGACGTAATCGCCAGCGCCTGGGGTTTCTACCACACAGTGTCTAAATGTGTGACAGTGCTAAATAACCCACAATATTTGAGGGTTTTGTAGCTAAATCACTATTGTTGTATGGGTGTAAGTGTGCTTGAACAGTGTTACCAGTTTAGCTGTTTATTTTGACCGCCTTCGCCTCTGGGTACTTCGGCTTTCTTGTTTCTGTTTGGTATATTTTTATATCGTGCCTTTAAGTTGAAGATGTTGGTGTTTCTGCCCAGGCCGTCTGTCCGTGTATTACACAATCTCTTATATTCGTTTACACAGCGGGAATGGCGCAGGAATAAACTCCAGAGACTTCAAGGTAAAAATCAAAAGAGAGTCCTGTGAACATTTTGGCCAAATAGGATCACAAATGAAGAAAATAAGAGAAAAACATCAGCATCTGTATGTTCAGCTCTAGCAAAAGTTAACTATAGGAAATGATGATGGCTTGGACATGTTTGCAGATGTTTCCCGACACTTTGGCGGGGACAGTTCTCCGGTGGGCGGCAGGTGGTGGAAACATGGGACGTGGACAACCTAAGAAAACCCAAATAAGGGACACTAGAAAGGGAAATACCTAGGATTACCCCCGGATTATTATCTTGCTAAACATTTTGTACTGAGAGACACATAACTTTTCTCGTTTATGTCTGGGGTCCTAATTTAAAGAGCAGAAAAAGACAACGTCAGTGGTAAGACTGAGTTAGTTCTAGTTTGGCAGTTAAAATAGAGACCAGGATATTAACGTGTGGATTGAACTTCTGGTGATGGTTGTTCAAGCGTATGGGTGTGGTGACAGGTCAGGATATTGTCAGGTGTGCCATCGTCGTCAACAAAGTAGTACAGGACGATTTACAAACAACGTTGAGACATGAATATAGCAATAGTAAACACGTTAAGCCACACAATATCTATGTGCAGACGGGGGTCTGGTGTTTCACATACCAGGCTAAAACAGTGTGAAGTAGCAAATTACACTTCACAGTTCATGTTCGAGGTCACCCAGTATAGATTTTGGCATAAGCTAACTAAGCTGTTCCTTAGGGCCTCAACAGATTCCTATGTTCACAATTGGTTGTCTTTTTTTTAAAGAGCTCTCAAGAGGATTACATAATAACATTTCTGTGATTTGAAAAACACATTATTTATTTCTTTATTAAAAATTAAACGACAGTATATTTCCATCAGCCATATATTTAACAGGCGTATATAGTTTAAAGTGATCTAAAATTATCTGGTATAATTTAAAAAAGTATGGGCCTCATAACTGTTTATAGCTTAGGGCTTATCAATTATAAATCTGGCACTGCCGGGGGGGGGGGGGGGGGGGGGCTAATCAAATAAGATTATTGGGATGGACGACCAATTATGGGTTTTGTTTTGAAGAAATTGGGTATGTTGCAAGCTGTTACAACTGTCCACATGCAAACACACCAACACAGCATGCTAACCGCCCTGTTAAAGGGTGCACATTTAGAAAGATAATGCACTAAACATCAAACATCTGGTCTATAACATTTACCCAAAAAAAAAAAATATTACTACGGAAAAAAAATGCGAAGAACGCAGATAGTTTTTATGCCATTTTGGTCCATAAATATACTGTGACCGTTTGCTTTGCCTGGCCGTTCCTCCCATCATGCAATGTTGACTAGACTTGCATGCCTGTAGGAACTAGCTGCGAGCGGGGCGGCGTGTACACGCCTAGCCAGGTCATCGATTTCTACTCCAGCACCTCTGTTATGTATTGACTCTGTCCTGCCGGCTGATCTGTTTGCGGTGCCAAAGTTCTGCCAGACCGACGACATCGTGTAGTCGCATTTGAACTGGTCTCGGGGTGCGGCTATCGTTTGTTAATTGATGTACCGAAGGAACGAATCTCACTTCTTGCCATGTCTGATTTGTTAGTGGGTTTGTCTGTGAGGGTGGTGGTCTGGGTTCAATTCACACCAGAGAAGGTTATCTTTCTCCTGACTAGTAAATCAGTGGTATCGCCCAAATCCATAACATGCAAAGTAAAGGGACTTTTAGGCGTATAGGCATATAATGCTACACCTATTCTAAAGATAGACCAATCAGCGGCGGCTTGTGGGAGATGTGGTCATCACGCCAGTCGTCTTTACTTCCTAGGACTTTACCTGGTAATCCAGTTAACGCTAGGTTGACCAAGGTCATGTTTAAAGAAACACAATTCCGCCTCTGTTAAGATTTGAATCCACGACCTTCGGACCAGGAAGCGAACGTCTAGCCGCTACACAACGGCTCCTAATGACCCCTTTTTGACGCCAGCCACACATCGGATATATGATGATAGACTGGTATTATTGTAGATCAAGCAGCACTGAATGGATGATGATGTCACGTCACGCCAGCACCCTTTTTTTCCCAGGACATTACCTTATATCAGTTTTAGCTTGGGTCGACCCGGAAGCCATGGTACAAGTCCACATGGCTGCGAATTTGAACCCTATACCTTCGTGTTGAATGTATAGATATACTTTGAGACAAATTTGCAACAATTTTAACTAGAATATTTTGACATCGAAACCCACAGTGCAAACGAATAAATGCAGATAAAACCACGGGTGAAAAAAAAAAGGAGGTGGGGTGAATAGACGTGGCGTGAAATATCAGAAGACATGATGTAAACAGCACGCAATATCTTCTTCTTCTTCTTCTTCATCTGCGTTCATCCAAAGACGTAAATGCATTGTGTCTGTTTACAACATGGCTGTGATATTTGCACCTTTCGGCCAACACATCTGACTTCTGCAGGAATTTTGTTGCCCGATCCTAATCAAACAGCTGCAACTTTGCCAGTTTGGCGTTGTTTTCGTTGGAAATGGCTGTAAAATGTGTAAAATTATCTGCTAAATGGTGTCTAAATAGGAAAAGAGAAATTATTTTTGTTTGCTCACATCGACTTCACTTCAAGACAAATAACCTCAGATTGGCTGTTGCTTTTGTAGTGTAATAATCAGGTGTCAGGCCACGTCATCTCCCGACTTATGTTATATTCGCATAATATATCAGGAGATGACGTGGCCTTCAGGTAGTCGACAGTATAACAGCTGCAACTTTGCCAGTTTGGCGTTGTTTTCGTTGGAAATGGCTGTAAAATGTGTAAAATTATCTGCTAAATGGTGTCTAAATAGGAAAAGTGAAATTATTTTTGTTTGCTCACATCGACTTCACTTCAAGACAAATAACCTCAGATTGGCTGTTGCTTTTGTAGTGTAATAATCAGGTGTCAGGCCACGTCATCTCCCGACTTATGTTATATTCGCATAATATATCAGGAGATGACGTGGCCTTCAGGTAGTCGACAGTATAACAGCGGGAGTAATGTTGGAAGATGTCGCCTTCCGTTACAATAAACTGTAAGTGCAGGGGTAATGTTGGGAGATGACCTTCTGTTACAACCACATCACAGCATACTTGTAGACATGGCTGTATTTAGACACTGTGCAAATGTGCAGCTGCACAGGGCGGCAGCAGTTTTAGGGCCTTAAAACGTCACAACTTAATGTTGTAGATTGTAAACAAATAGCGATGCTGAAGTCTAACCGATGAAAAATGTGACGTAAAATAAATGACAGTACCGTCATACAGCGTGTAGCCGTAATATTTCGAGAGGTAGCCTCCCATTTCACAGAAAGTATAATTGAAGGGACTTTGCCTTAATTACAAGACCGAATAAGTACAAAAGTAATGGCGCGGGATGACATAGCTGTCATTTGCAAAGCAGAATAGGACGTGCATTTCTCGGAAAGAGATCGATATAAATATTTTACTCCCCCATCTAATGCCTTAAAAAGAAATCTTCTCAGGAACAGTACTGGATGTGCAGTGTATTTTGAAAACAGCTCCTATTTGTTATTGTCACGGACAAATGTCATTGCATGCAAAGTAACAAGTTTTTCCTTTTAGTGTACACCTTTCATATAATTTCTTTACGTTTAAAGATTAATTAATGTTGACTTACATTTTCTATCCCACAGTTGGACGCCAAGAAAAGTCCACTCGCACTTTTAGCCCAGACCTGCAGTGCCATAGGAAAAGACACGTCACCTTCTAAGCCAATTATTCCTCCACTGGAGAAGAAGGACAACGATAAATCAGAGAAGTCGTCAGATTCCGAAGCATCGAAGCGACCAAACTCCCATGGAAGTAAAGAATCTGGAAGAGATTCAAAGCCCGGCTTCAGAACATTTCCACCGAAAGAAATTCCTCCATTGGTGCCAATCCTGAGCTCTCCCGGTGAAAAGTCAATCAGGACAGGAAGTGCAGAACCAAAACCATCCAATTCTCCAGCTGGTCATGTCGGTGCTTCTAACTCCAATTCCAGTTCTTCATCCTCCAGGCCTACGGGGTCTCTGGGACATACAGGTTCTCAGAGATCAAGCTCCAGAAGTAGCAATGGAAAAGGGGACAGTAATGGTGGTGATCATCATCACCACCACAGCAGCAGCAGTCACCAGCATTCACATCAACGACTTCGTGACTCCCCAGCCTCTTCTGGCTCATTTTCATCCCACTCAAGCATATCCCCTCCTTCCTACTCTAAATCTTCCATGTCCCACGCCTCTTCTGTGATGCAGTCATCACCATCGCTCAGCTCGGCTGTTAAACCCTCTGCCACACACCCATCAATGCTGGGAGGATTGCCCACTGCTGCCCACTTGGCCAGCTACCACAATCATCTGGCCCTTCTCAGCCATGGACTGGATCCTAGCAACTCTAGTTACCACAGTGCTCTTGCTGCGCATTCTAGTCTCAGTAGTTTCGCAGCTGCCCAGTCATCTGCTTTAAAAGCAGCAGCTGCTGCTGCCAGTGCACCAACAGCATTATCCCCATTTGTGACATATGCAAGGGTAAGGACTCCTTCCGGAGCGACCACACTAGTACCAGTATGCAGAGACCCTTATTGCACAAACTGTCAACTAACATTACAGAATTCCCACTTGTCCTCAACATGTAACTCCCCAGGATGTCCCCAATGTGCCCACGAAAAGTCCCTCACCAGCTTATCAGCTCTGGGCTTGCCAGGCGCTTCCTCCATGCTCCTGCCATCCCTGTCTTCGGCTAGTTCTTTATCTAGTTCAATGTCTGCTCTTTCCTCTTTACATTCTCTCTACCCCCATAGTGCTCTGGTGGCCGCCCACCAAGGACTTCCTTACATTTGCAGTTGGGTTTCCGGCAACGATTACTGTGGTAAACGCTTCACGTCATCAGAAGAACTCCTACAGCACCTGAGGACACACACATCCAGTATGGATGTTTCAACCCTTGCAGCATCATACGCTGGTCTAGGGCTCCCCAATGCTCTGGCAGCATACCCACACTTATCAGCACCACTGAGTCCTAACTCTCTGAGAAGGACCTACCCAACAAGTTTAAGCCCGGTGAGCAGTCTTCTGGGAGCTAGCAGATACCATCCATACAAATCTCCCTTATCAGGTGTGGGAACCACGCCTCCGACCCCGCAGTCTTTTGCTGCAGTAGGACCTTACTATTCTCCCTACACTTTGTATGGACAGAGACTAGGTGCAGCTGTTGTACCTTAACGAAGACGTATGCTTTCACAAACTAAATAACGTAATATGTGATCAATATAACTGTTGTGTGTTCAAGATTTCTATCAGACCATTTTGCTAAATCATGTATATTTCCGCGAAGGACTCAAAGAGAACGTTTACGTGCAACGGTTGTTATAAGCAGGTGTGTGATGTTGCAATCTTATGACTCATTTTAATACATCCTTCATACCATAAGACACAGCATGAAAGGGGGAAGCAACTTCAATGAAAAGGGGAAACAACTTCAAACAAAAAACACGTCAATATGAATTATTTATGACTACGTTTGGTTATATATTTTTTAACATATGGCGTGCTCTTGTGTGTGTATGTATTTATTATATAATGCTGACATTGATTATATCTAATGAAATTTTTATTACATTGTGATGTGCACATTTGTCTTGGATTGGAACCACATGAAGAATAACTGGGGATACAAAAGGTGTGTGTATATATATATATATATATATATATATATATATATATATATATATATATATATATATATATATATATATATATATATATACATATACATCTAAGCGAAATGGCAGAGCAGGAATAATGCATGCCAAACAGGAAAGTCCTATAAAGACTTAGCCCAAGTAAGTCTTTCCCAGCGGAGGAGCCCTAGTAAATCTTTTCCAGCGGAGGGATCTTACAGGACTGGCCCATGGAGCACTTTTGAGGTTTCATTCAGTTTTTGGCTCCAGCTGGAATGTTTGTGTGTATAGCAAACAGGGCAGAAGAAGAGACCTAGTTATTCACTACCTTGTTTTATCCAGCCTCACTGTGTTTATAATGCTGTGAATGTTGTGTTTGATTATGTTCATGCTCTCTCATACCTGGCTTTGAATTCAGTAAAGAATATGCAACTATCCTGTAAAGCATTACAATACAAAATGTCTACACGAACAAATCTCAACAAAATAAATTCTTTTAAGAATATTTTTTAGTTACTTTTTTTTTTTTTTTAATTCTTAGCCAGCTGAAAACGTTTTGTTAAAAACAAGAGGAAATAATTGTATACTTGTAACATACTTTCAATAAATAAATGTGATTTACATTTTAATCCAGTCCATGTTTTGTATATGTCTTTTCATTTGGTGCGTTGCCAACAGCAACATAAATTGTGGATTATGGAACTCTCGTCAGCATAAAGACTTCTGAATATATGTATCAGACAATCTATTATGAATTAAAGGTACTCCATTCTTCTTCTTCTTCTTCTTCTTCTTCTTCTTCTTCTTCTTCTTTTTCTTCTTCTTCTTCTTCTGTCGTTTATCAGTGGAGCATAGATTTTCAACCAACCCAGACCAAGTTGTCTGAATCTATGCTATCACAAGCAGCCTAATCCATGTCTGCCAGATATTTTTAGCTTCACTCTCTAGCTCTCATCTCAATACCTTTCTTGGTCTGTCTTAATTTCTCCGCCCCTGTGGGTTTAGATAAATACATTCTAGTTACATTGTACTCAGATTTTCTCACCCTGAAGATAGTATTAAACTGTATTGACTGACCTGAAAGCACCATATGCCCAGTTCACCTGAAAATATAGAAGTGAATCTTTGACCTACTTTAGAAAGTGGAGACACAATGACTATGGGAAAGAAGCAGAGGCAGAGAGAAGATACGGGACAGTTTGATATCATGGCATGGAAATCACCTGTGTCAGAAATGACTGAATGTACTCGATACAGAAAGTTGGGGATAGACAAGACCATTTCCAAGGGAGAAGATTGAGGTATTTCATTGTACTTGATTTCAGATGTCTTGGGAAGATAATTGATTTGGATCCAAGAGCCTTCGCTATGAACAAACACAAAGTAGAAGAAAACTTGCTTTTAAAAGAGTAAGTAAAAAGTAAAGATCCCTTATCACGCCTTAGGCGCATCGGGCATATGGGAAAAGCACCCATATTTTTACAGACCAATCGGCTCTAGTGTGTGGTCAGCATTACTCCAGCCGTCTTTACTTCCCCAGGACATACATCCTGGTACCCATTTTACGCTGCGTCGACCTGCAACGCCCCATACCATGATGCAAATCCATTGCAGTCAGTTTCGATCGCAGTACGCTGGTATTACAAGTAGGACTCGAAACGCCTAAGGCACGGACGCCACTTTAAAAGAGTATCTGTCATAAATTCAAAAGGATGTTGGTTCATCAACTGCGCTACAGGATATTGACCAAATCACCTATCAAGTGCCTACTGTGTGTTTGGTCAACAGTACGCTAGCCACATTTCAATTCACACATCTCCCGCCCTCAATTCAAACTGTATTGACCTGGAAGCACCATATGCCCAGTTCACCTGAAAATATAGAAGTGAATCTTTGACCTACTTTAGAAAGTGGAGACACGGTGACTATGGGAAAGAAGCAGAGAGAAGATATTGGACAGTTTGATATCATGGCATGGAAAATCAAATGTGTCAGAAATGACTGAATGTACTCGAGACAGAAAATTGGGTATAGACAGACTGGAAAGAAGCTGAAGATGCATCTCCTGTAAAAGATTCCATTTTTTTTTACAGTAAAGTATCTTGTTAACCTGGTAAACGATCATGTACAGATCTCCAAAATAATTCTTTATATCATGTGGTACTTTTTTTTTTTTTAAATACCAAAATGCAGTGATTCCCAAACTGTGCGCCTCAGGAAGCCGCTACCTTTTCACAGGGGCGCTGCGAAATATTGTAAATACTTCATAAATAATTTAATTAAGACACGAATAGTTATACTTTTACTTAGGTTAGGGCGCCGTGGAAAAAATTTTAATTTTAAAAAAGGCGCCGCGACCAAGAAAAGCTTGAGAAACTCTGACATAATGAAAAGCAGTCAAGTACCTTTTCTCTCCACCTTCCTTTCTTGTCTGATACATTTTTTCAGCTATTACAATTTGCTCCACTCTTTCACTTCTCATAAACTTGAAAAAGAAAAATGATTTGCTGTCTATTTCTGACGTCTGTAATAAGTAAGCTGTCTGTCATAACGTTCTTAAAATTGAAGTCTCTTTTAGCAGGCGTGCGCATATACTCAGTTTTCCCAACAAATACATTAATCATAAACATACAACATAATATGGTGACATCATAACTTGCTGTATGACTGGGATAGGCGAAGCCATACACAGATACCTACATAATATTAAACACCACAATTATCAGACAGGGAGAGGTATGACATCTTTTTATTTATGTTGAGTCACATTTCTAGAACATGTTATATCTCGACAACACTTCTAGAGATGTAGTGAAAATCAAATACCTTCGTCTCGCTTGACTTCATTTCTAGTATTGTGACAATCTCAAAGAAAAAACTCCTACAGCAAAACACCAGGTGTTGTTTTTTTTTTTTTTTGGGCTGAAAACGAGCTGGCAACACAACTTTTCAGCGGTCAGTCGGCTATTGACCCTATTGGCAGGTAACTATATGCAGATAGCCAGTGGCGTTGGTAATCATGTCTTCGGTCTCGAGTACTTTAAATCATTTCTGACACAGATGATACTCCATGCCATGATATCTAGACTGTTCATCTTCTCTCTCTCTCTCTCTCTCTCTCGATTTCCCTCTGCCTCTTTTCCCTTCGAACTTTCCCACCATCACGACGTAAAGTAATTCTCGCATTCTACTGACCTGACTAAAGATTAGATTGTCTGCTTTGATGTGGACAGTCAGTTATTTGTGTGAGTCAGTTCCTTTCAAGACATCTTTATTACTATTGTTTTCTTGATCTGTCTATGACCTTCTTAGCATTCGTTTGTAAAACCACATCCCCGACGCTTCATTGTAATTATTAAATACACGGCTAAATGTCCATGGTCCACTGCCATGTTTCAGGATAGGATTTATATAGCTCTCAAAATGTCTCTTTCTCTCTCAACAGACAAAGAAAAATTGCAGAAAAGATTCTTTTTCTAGTTATCAAGTATTCCAACCAATGGACGCAGACCAAAGACAACATTATATTTCTCAAAGGCCTCAACGAGTGGCCTTCCTCGAGTGCATAATAATAATAAATTTGCTAAATTTCAAGTATAATATAAAGTGATATCTTGGTATATGTCCTTGATAAAATTCAAGATTTGACGTATACCAAAAGAAGGCTGTATATGACAACATAATTTTCGCATAAGAAAAAAAAAAGGAAAAGCGATTTATCCGTTCCCATTACACCTATTGTTACTGGCATGTTGTACCTTGGCGGAGTTGCATAAATTAACACTGCTTAATACTACAATGCATGAACACAAAAGCAATTAGATGAAATACGTGAAAATTCAACCGAACTTTGCCTTGCTAAGAAGCGTCGAGTGCCAGTTAAGAAAAGACGAGTTGGAGATATGGTTTAAAAGAAGTCCCCTTCCAATATAACTTCAGGAATTGATTGATTGATTTGATTCAAGAACCGATATCACAGCACTCGGGGCATTCCCATAAGCGCTCCGTCCCCATCTTCAGCAGCAAGCGAAGAGTTCCGATAGTAATGGTGCCAGTAGCATTCTGATTAAATGTCCGTCTTGCCTTTCCTCTGAGCATCTACCAGAACCTCTCGTCACTCCCCGCTGCATCAATCTCACCAGACTGTGGTGATCCATCTGCTCCTCCGAACTGTACACGCTCTCCCACAAGGCACTAACCACGTCTGCCTTATCATGTATCAGTATTCCACCAGTCTGTCCGCCTGTTCATTTCCCAACACACCAGCGTGCCCCCGTGAAAAAATCCAGACAATACTCCTCACCCGTGTCCTTCGCAGCGAAGCATGCCACTCTGCACGAAGCATACCTGTTCTGATCTTCCTCAGCATGCTTTCTGAATCATTTACACTCACGGGGTGTGTGTCGTGTTCTCTAGCCAGCTTCAGGAATATGAAAGTCTTGTATTTTTTTTTTTAAATCTTTGTTATGTCTCTTTTCCCTAATTGGACCTGGCTGAGATTCACAATGTCTAACTTTTACTAAAAATCTTTCCATTGGACTT